ATCCCTTTCTTCCTAGCTGTTTGACTGTGAACAATTTGGATGCCTTGGTTGGGTATAAAAGTGGGGCAAGTAAGAGCATTCATCACATAAACTAGCTGTACCAATAATTTATTACAAGCAAATCATTTAGAATAGTATCTGGTACATAGTCAGTGCTCAGAAAAATTAGATGTATTATTTTATAAATGATAAGATTGATGCTAGGAATATAAAATGACTTCTCCAAGATAATGCAGGTGGTCAATGGTGAGACCTGAACTCAAAACCCCAGAACTCCTGAGGACTTTTCATGTCATCAGACAGCATTCCATAATATCCCACTTTTAATGCACATAAATATCACACTTCGAAATAACAGGGACATTTGGGGACTCTGCCATAGGCATAAGAGTAGAGTACCAACCAGTACTGTTTGATATGGTTTGGCTCTATGTCTTCACACAAATCTCACCTTAAATTGTAATAATCCCCATGTGTTAAGGGCAGGAACAGGTAAAGGTAATTGAATCATGGGGGCAGTGAGTGTTGGTTTTATAAGGGGCTTCCCCCTTCACTCAGCACTCATTCTCTCTCCTGCTGCCCTGTGAAGAGGTGCCTTCTGCCTTCACTGCAAGTTTCCTGAGGCCTCCCCAGCCATGTGGAGTTCTGAGTCAATTAAACCTCTTTTCTTTATAAATCATCCAGTCTTGGATATTTCTTTGTAGCAGCATGAGAATGAACGAATACGCTGTTGAATGCTCAAGATACCCCAGCTGCAGGACTGCTTGTTTGGAGAACTAAACTTAGGGAAGGAAAGTCCTTGCAGAATTCCATCCATCAGGCACCTCTGCATAATGTTCTGAAATATCTGGTCTGGCTAGACCAAGAAAGGCTAAGGAATTGCTGGCCCTGGACCTAAAAAAAGTTCTATTGTTTTTTTTGTCAAGCCCTACAAGAATCTGTTAGTGCAGCCAAAAGAACTACTACTACTGTTATTAGTATTGTTGTTATTATTCCTTGAACTGAATGTGCTATTTTATGTCTATGGGCAGTATACTGTTGTCTCTGACCAATTCCATATTCTTGTTCTGTTTATCTTTAGGAATTACTTGTAGTTTGTATATTCAAATTTTTTGAGAAACCTTATCTCACTTCCCACTATGACATAGATGAACTCTCTCTATCTTACTATTTGTGAGCTATATTATAATCACTCGTTTCCTGGTCTCTATTTCCCATTCACTAAAGGATACCTTATTTGTTTTGATATCTGCAGTACCTAGCACACAGCCTGGTGTGTAAATATTTAATACCTAATTGAAAGACTAATTGGAAGACTAAATAGTTTAATAAAAGAAAAAAACACAATAAAGAATAAAAGAAACAAGAAAACCTCAGAGACTTAGCACCCGACCATTAGGCACAACTATTATTTAACTTGACTTTTGAAGAGAGAAAAGGAAGACCGAATAAGTGATGACGAGAAGAGGTGTGACTTTGTGCGTGATATTAATCAGTTAATGAAGCTCCACGTTGTTCTGCCTGGATCCATAAAATTAAAAAAGAGAAAATTTCACCACCAGCTATCTAGCCTGATTTGCATGTGTTCAAATCTTCAAAGTATTTCTTTTGATTCCTTTAATCAATAGCTATTTTAGAAAGCTCTTCATTACTTCCTAATTGTCCAAATTCATTTTCTTCATTTTTCTTTATTAGAGGCAGATTTTTCAAATGAGTTAAGTACATCAGCAATTTTAGAATCATTATTAACTTCAAGCATTTCTCTCAGTTATTAGCATGACTCTTCTCTCTTTAGGACTACAGTCTTTTCTCCATTTTTAAAAGGCTATCTGGTTTTATTTTCCAGACTTCTTTTTTCCATGTATCTCAAATGAGGTCAAGTTTACCCAATAATAAGAGCAATCCATGTTTACAATAATCCTGACCAATAATCCTGACCCTAGATACTTTAATGTATCATATTCCCAGATTTGAAATAAGATGCAGTGATTCCTTATATTAGCATATTAAAAGGTAAATAATTAGGATTTACCTAGATTTTAATCCATCCCAATCAAATAAACTAGTAAAGCCATTACCATGTCCATAAAACAGCTTACAAATAATTTAAATGAATATTTTGATCCTTAAATGCAGTATATTAAAATTAAAACTATACCTATATATTGACACCAACAATCTCACTACTAGAAATTTGTTCCACAAAATTAAAACCGCCACATTATTGCAGCACTGATTGTGACAAAAAACTGAAAACAAAATAAATATCCATCGATAAAGAGGTGGTCAAAAATTTGTGGTACATTGATATTATGAAATACACATGTGTTTGTATATGATTACATGGGCTCAGAGAAAGATACAAGAGTGTTCAACAGGTTGGTTACTGGGCAGAGGAGACGTGTGACGGGAAAAGAAGGGAAGAAAAGGGAAGGCAAGAAAAAAAGACAAACATTCAGGACAAATGGTACATAGGATATTTTAATATTTTATGTGTATATCAATATAAATAGGCGTAAAAGAATGACCACCACAGTTATCTGAAGCTGATAGGACTGTATATTTTTACTGTCTTTTATTGCATATAATGGGCTTTTTAATAATTTTAAATTGTTTGATTTAAATTATATCACTTCAATTATTATTTATATGATATTTATATGATTTGAAACACAAAATTAAAACTATTCTTATTGTGATATATATATTACATGTATGTATATTTATGTATATACATAAATAAACACACACACACACACACACACACACACACATATATATATATGGAGAGAGAGAGAGAGATCAGGTGAAGGATTATGTACTTGTACATCAGAACTCAAATCCACCCACTGAAAAACAGCTAGGTTATATGCAGTGCCACCAGACTATAATCAACTTGTTTGATAGACTACATATCCTAACAACTACATTATTTTTAAAAAGTCTTTGCTGATTTTAATTTTTAATCTTCCTTCAAGACTCAACTAATGTCATTTCTTAATTCGGTTCTCCACTTGTTTCCCAAATGTTTGAATGATTTCCCAGGAAGTCTTCAAAATTCATTCATAAAACCCTCTGAAATGTACATACTTTTTGATATCTCATTTTAATAAATGAAATGCAATACCATGTAGGAAATGTCTGAATTCCCATTGAATCATCAACTTTTTTTGTATATCATCAATTTCTTTTTAAATGCAATAGGAAATCTAAAATAAGAGAAGACACATTGTCAAAATCTATAGGTAAACACACTTGGGCAACAACAATATGCAAAATGCAATGCAGAGTCCTGAAAGGCATTTTGTATCATTGGTCTTCTCTCATGACTTCTGGAATTGTAGGCTATGCAAACAAACTTGTGGAAAAGAAACACTGATCTCAAATAATCCAGTATTTTCACCAACCTCAAACTGAAAAATAAGAATACTAGCTACCTGAATTTCAAAAAACATTTTAATTACTTTGATACATAAAAGTGTTAAGAAATGGAATAATGAAAATATCAAATTACTAGTATAGAAAATAAAGAATAAATAAATCCAGGTATAATTTCTGGGCCATTATCATTACCATACGTCTTTTTAATTACCTTTCCCCTCCAGGACTTGATATTTTGTAAGATTTGCTCTACTAAAACAAATGAATTTATAAGTAATAATTGATTTTTTAAATTCTTAATGAATCAATGATATGTGTAATTGCCCATCCCAGCTACCAATCAAGATAAGGGAACCAGTGTTGCACATGTAATTGAAACACTTTCTTTAAAGGCAAACAATTTGTTAACATGGATCAATCTACAATTTTTGTTAGCTTCTTAAAAATAATGAAAATAGTGGAAAATATACCTTAGAGCTCAAAGCATCCCCTGACCACTGTTTCAGAATCAGTATTCCATTGTCAAAGAATAAATTCAGGTTAAAAATCAGCTTTAATTCACAATTTGGTTACAAAAAAAAAACAAAACTAGCAAACAAAGAGATTATCAGGATTAATTTCAAAGAATAACTGTGAGGTCACCCATGGAAAACGTGAGCCTTAACCTTATGCCAAGGGCATTGCAGACAAATGGGCATGAGGGATGAGCTCTCAGCAACCTTCCAATTTCAGTTACAAAGATTCAAGTAATGGATACAATAAAGCAAACATGTCAGCAGAAGATAATGAATGCAGTATTTTGGTTAGCTTTTTCTATCTACTTCTTTAACATCTACAAGGAAAGTTTTATTTTGTTTTTCCTGCTCTGAAAAGATAAATATAGATGTATTCATGTCCTCTAGAGACTAGAATCAGATGACTAAGTCAAAACAAAGCCTTTTGAAATCACCCAGTCTTATGACAGATGCAGTAAAGGATAAAGTATCCGCCATGCTGGAAATTTCCTGCACAAGAAACATCTTAAATGTACCTGTCCACAACTGACAGTTGATAAAGTTCCAACCTTGAAAACTAGGTTGCCAAGTATTGAAACTTTGATAATCATGCTAGTTTCAGGTATTTTGCTTGGCAAGAAAGTACTAAATCTACTAATAAGTTGGGTTTAGTTATGAATTACTAATAAATGTATGGCTAATAAATTTGTTGAATTTATTAACAACTTAATGTTAATTCTATTTTGTTCATTCACATACCACAGAGATCTCAGAGATACCTCATAGTCTGGCAATTTCAGACTATGGCTCCATGAAGGATATAACATCTGAGGTCAGAATGAGGTTTACTTATTATTAAGCTTCCATTTCCTTAACAAAATGAACTGTTTTGTACTTACTGCTCCCCTTTGAACTCTAATGGTGAATAATTAAAACTAAGCTACAACCATGTTTTGTGATGCCTGATTACACTGTAAGCTAGAGGTTTTGCTCAGTGGCTAATTTTAAATGCTTACCAAACCCCTAAGAACCCAGCCATTAGTCTGAATTGACAAATTTGGCTGACCCCTAAAAGCAAAGCAGACAGCACCAAATCATTGTAAAATTGTATTGCTGGTGACTCACCATATTGACAGTGGGGTCCATGTAATCCCTCTGAACACTAGCACTACTGGCCTTCACCACCTGAGCGTTTGCTTCCTCTGAAACAAGTTCCCACTGCAGAGATAGCTAAAAGGAGGTTGAATGAGGAGAGGGTGGAATACAGCTGAGGGAAAGAAAGAAAATCATCAATATAGGCACCAATCCAGAGATTTCCACCAGCCCTTCCACAGCAAGGTTAAATTATGTTTTCATTGAGTTAAGGCCTTACTGTCTAAAACCTTGCAGAACTCTGTGTGTAGGAGCAACTGTATCACCTGCAAGCTTGTAGAAATGCAGAACTCGGGCCCGCCCCTGACCTAGTAAATTGGAATCCATATTTTAACAAGATTCCAGATGATCTGTATTCACATTCAAATTTGAGAACTATTGGTCTAAAAAAAATTCCAGGGATAAGAATGTTTGGCCAAAACAATCTAAAAATCAAACAAAAAATGCTAATAAGAACTAATAGGTGTCATACAACAACATAAATAATTCATCTCATAGTCATTAACTTCCAGGAGTTTATAACATAGTTAAGATGACATCATGGGAAGATATTTTCACTGAGCTTAAACCAGTTTAAGCTAGTAACATTGTGGGCAGATGTTTTCAATAAGCTTAGAGCAGTGGCCTCGTACTGCATGCAATTCACAGTGACCCTTGGTGCCCCCCTCACCACTAAACCTGCTTAACATGAGAAGCCTGTGGCAACTTCATGAAGATGTTTCAAGGGCAGAAAGCACACTGGGGAAGGAAACCGGATGCCAACAAACTCTCAAAGGTACAGAATAGCAAGAGAGATGAATTGTTGTGCTGTGGTGCTGCATTGATTGTAACACACTGAAGCATTTTAAGTGACTTTGCAATAACCGTAAATACATCATATAGGTAAAGGAGTTTGCTAAACTGAACCGTTTCTCCTGGTGTGAATAAACTATGTAATGCCACTAGTTCTGCTACCTGAGTGCTGTCAAACATACTCCAAAAGTTCTGAAATACTCTCACCAGAGGTTTGCAAAAGGACTGCATACCTCATCTTAAAAAGTAAACTGCCTCCAGAGTTCTGCAATTAATCATGACAAGCACAAGTTGAGAAATCCCATTTAGATTTAGTACGATGATTTCCCTCCAGACTTTTGAATCAACTGTGGATTACAAATTTGATGCAATGGGAAAGGGGCAAACAGAAAAGGGAAATGGAAGTCAAGGTGTAAACTGTCTGGTTTTGAATCAACTGTCTTTTAAACAAAGAGACAGAATATAAAGCAGCACTTTCATGGGTCCTGAGTTGTGACCTACCATTAGAAACACTTAACAGAAAGGTTTTTTGTGCATCATGTGTGAATTTTCAGCTCAAAGAGATGCTCTGAATCTGTAGTGATTCTAAAGATGCTGAAAAACTTGACAAGTATTATTGAAGTCCAAAACAAAGTGAAATCATTCCTTCTAGTAACAGAGTTAGACAAGAAGAATGATAACTTACAGTGTAGTCATCCTGGTTCATCACACTGGTTGCAACCAGGGCAGCACCAGTAGACAGGCTGCTGCTCTATGTTGTACACCTGTCTGTAGATGGTGTAGTTGTGGGTCCTAACAAACACAGGGATCTAAATTAGGGAGATATAATGTTCCCTCTGAAGGCAAAGCTATCTTAAACCCACTAGAAATTTTTTCTAATTCAAATCCTGCCATACATGTATGTTTATAGACAGAGAGATAGGTGTATATGTATATATAGATAATTGTATATGTGTGCATATAATGTTTAATTTGTATATATTATACAGACACACACCTCACTACAATATGCAACCAAGATTCATTATGGGTATAGGTTAATGAAAACTAAGAGGGACTCCCATATCCCATGGTATAAAATATCCTAAGGATAGTTCAAGCTATCAACAATAAAACCTAAAATTATGATGAGAATAATGAAATCTTGAAAGATAATGAGGAACATGCTTTTCATTCTGATTTGAAAGCTCCTCATAGGTTGGTTCCACTAAAGTATCCACTCTCAACCATGTTGATATCACCCACAAGAAGGTGACAAGAAGCTATTGTGATTGGGGGATGAGAAGAATCTTAGTTGATACAATGGTGTGTGACCCTACAAAGGAACACAGTACATAAATGGATCTAAAGAATATGTGTAGCATTAAAATTTCATGGCACAGAAGGAAGCTGCAGAAAAAAAAAAACAGTTTAAAAGGCTCTTTAGGGGGGAAATAATAAACCAAAGTTTGAAAACATTGAGCTATTTTTGCTGACCTATCCACAGAACATAATAGCAAATATCTCCAAACAGGCTGATTTCCTTTTTGTCAAGTCAATGTCATTTTTTATTCTTTATTTTTTATTCCAAAAGTACTAACATATCTCTCCCTTTCATATGCCACCCACTATATTTCTAGTCCAAATTGCCTTCATTATTCAAGGTCAATTTCAAGTTACACTTTCTCTAACTTCTCTTTTCCCACCAAGCCAATGTAGATTGCTCTTTCTCTTTTTTCAAATATTGGACTCACTGGCTGCATTGTTTTTATAACAATTATTCACCATCTGGAATTGTAACCTAATATTTTGTTTCGTGCATCTCTTCAATCAAAACATAAGTATACGTTTGTATACTTACATACAAACAAAACAGATATGAGCATGGCAAAGATGCTGAACATCTTCAAACAAACTGCTGTGAGTTAGGGATGAAAAGAATCTTAGTTTGGAGTGCCTCCACTCCAAACTCATCATCATATAGAAAATGTGCAAAACCACTAATCTCTTAAGAATAAAAATATAAAATCTGTTTTACTTATTTATGTTTGTTTTCCCAAATATCTGTAAGGTAATGGATTTTATTTGATTCAGTCCATTAACAACAAAGATTAAAACTCATGGAGGAGGTATAAAAAAAATGAAAAGGCATTTTCAAAAAAAAAGTACACTAATGAACACATCACATACCCTATAAATAGGATTTGCATTCTAATTTCTTCGAAAATAAATTTTTCTGCTAAGGCATTATACTACCTAACATATATTGAGTACCTACCATGTACCAAGCATTGTGTCACATGTGTTCAATCTTATCTATGAAGACTTAATCAATTAATCTTCATAATATCCATGTTACAGCATTATTTTTTTTAACACTACAACTAAGACAGAGAAATGTAGGAACCTTGCCTAAGGCCACACAGCTGGGAAGGTCCAGGGGAAGTTTTCTGATTAAAACATCATATAAAAGTTCTGAGTTGGCCTAGTGTAGTTGTAATTCCAGCTGTAATCTGGGTGTAGCTGTAATCTAGTGTAGCTGTAATCCCAGTACTTTGGGAGGCCATGCTGGGAGGATCATTTGAAGCCAAGAGTTTGAGATGAGCCTGGACAATACAGCAAGACACCTGTCTCTACAAAAATAAAAATTAAAAAATTAACTGGGTGCAGTGGCACACTCCTTTAGTCCCAGCAACTCAAGGGGCTGAGGTGGAAGGATCACTTGAGCCCAGATGTTTGAGACTGCAGTGAGCTATGATTATGCCACTATACTCCAGCCTCGGCAACAGAACAAGGCCCCATCTCTTAAAAAAAAAAAAAAAAAAAAAGAAAGAACCACGAAATTCCTAAGTTTAGACCAAAAACTGTTCATCTGAAGGTTCAATATATACCCCTCCACACACACAATGAATATGTAAACATCCACAATTATAAATTACTCTTATAATATTTTGTTCAGTCCTATATTATTAGTGATCCAGTATTTTTATACAATGGCAAACCCAATTATTTACAAATGTCCCTCACTTTCTGTTGGCAATAATAGTAGTAATAATAAATTATTCATTAACCTGAAACTACTGAAACCTTCTCTTTTTTTTAACATTAAGTATCCTGAGTGTTGATCCTTAACCCATCATCAACTATTTGTGTTAAGAGGTTCTTAGATATTTTATAAAACTATTTGAAAACTTTGGAGGAAAAAAAAAAAAAGTCTGCATGAAGCCTTGACTCCTAGAAAGCATTGTGGACACTTGCTTTTTCTCTACTTTTCTAGCCTGCCGAGTTAATCCTGATTCAAAGGCCATAATAAAGTTAAAGAAGCTCTAGGTTTCAAAGTGTTACAAGAGTACCAAGGGCAGGTCAGACATTGGTTCACGACTGTAGGTCCCCTGGATCCAAGTCGCGCTAAATTTAGCAAACCAACACAATATTCCTTGTTTCTGTCAGTTTTCTGATCTTTCGCTTTCAATGGTGTACCATGCCATGAGGTAAAATTAGTGGCATCTAACCCAAAATACCTCAGACATAAATGAGGTCTAAAGTAATAATATATCTTGTCTCTGAAGAAAAATAAATTAACTCTAAATGCTCTTGGTGGTCACATCCTGTGCTCATTTACCTAATGAGCATAAAATTTATTGGATGAATATGTAGGTGCATTTGAGGTGTCTGGTATTGGTTTCTAATAATCAAGGAGAACAGAAGCATTTTTACCTTTTTTCACAGCTCACACACCAACTTGAGGCAGCATGGCCTTGTTTCCAGAGCTTGACAATGGGCGTGAATGCCCGAACATGTGTGTGCAAGTCCCACCACAGTCAGTTACTGTTCTTCACAAACATTTGGCCTTGAAAAAAGAAGAGTGGTAATGTAAATAAATATGTTTATATGTGAAGTACTGATTTCTCCATTTTCCACAAAAAGCTTGACATGTTATAAAAAATACATAAAGTAAGAAAGCAAAATACAGACAATACAAAAACAACACCAGCACCAGGAAAAAGAAAAATCAGAATAAACTTTAAAGACCAGAAGAAATTTAGAAGATAGATATAAACATCGTAAATTCCCACAAAGTTAGAAAAATTGAGCTGTAAATTAAGTTCTGAGTGCTTTGGTAGACAAAATTTAAATTTAAAAAAATTGCAGGATTCTCAATACTGATGGGAAAAAAGCAAACCAGTTTATCAAAGAAGTTAAATTTTTCCTAGAAATGATTTCTGAACAGTATTTTCATTCTGCATGTTTAAACTGGGTTTCTCAGGTAATTCTTGTTTAAACACAGAGATTTTTCAGCCACCATCATTATATTAATATTTCCTTACAGAAAGTTTGTACAGATTTACAGGAATTTAGACCCACTATCTTTAATTTTTCTATGAATAAGGCTAACTAATACTAATAGCCTGGAGTGCCAAAATTCAATTTTTTAAATAGTCTTCTTTTGTGACTTGAGGAATGCTTTACTTAGTGATGAATGATTTACTAGTTCGTAAGATTTGTTTTACATTTGAAAATAACACTAATTGTAATAGCCAGTTGTGCCAACCACTCATGCTTTTCCTGCATTCAAGATCACTTACATGCCATGCACTGCCCCTGCTAGGAATACAACAGAAGATTCAGATTTTGATGTTCCTGCCTTCAAGTAGCTCACAGTCTGGCATAGTCTCTATATTCATAACCATCTAAAAATAGAAATGAGCTCTGATTCAGAAGCTGTAGTCCACCCCTTAAATAGCTCTGTGAACTTCTCCAGTGACACAATAATAATACTGATAAGGCCAGGCACGGAGGCTCATGCCTGTAATCCCAGCACTTTGGGAGGTGGAGGCAGGCAGACCACGAGGTCAGGAGTTCAAGATCAGCCTGGCCAATATGGTGAAACCCCGTCTCTACTAAAAATACAAAAAATTAGCTGGGCATGGTGGCGCATGCCTGTAATCCCAGCTACTCAGGAGGCTGAGACAGGAGAATTGCCTGAACCCAGGAGGCGGAGGTTGCAGTGAGCCAAGACAGCGCCATTGCACTCCAGCCTGGGTAACATGAGCGAAAATCTGTCACAAAAAAAAAAAAAAAAAAAAAAAATTAGCTGGGCGTGGTGGCATGTGCCTGTAGTCCCAGCTACTCAGGGGACTGAGACAGAAGAATCATTTGAACCCAAGAGGCAGAGGTTGCAGTGAGACGAGATTGCACCACTGCACTCCAGTCTGGGCAACAGAGCAAGATTCTGTCTTGCACTATTCTTTTTACCTATATATCTTTTACATCACCCTGTGACTGCAGTCCCTTTTTGTTAACACTGTTTTCTGCGCCTCTAAATATCATCATCTGATTTCACAACCTAATTCTCACTTCTATATATATTTCTGAAAGGTGATTGTTTGGATGATTAGCCTCACCTAAATTAAGTGAAGTTCAAGTTGAACTTTATTTATGAGTTTGCATAGCACATTTTAATACTTTAGGTAAACACAGTACTGTAATAAAACAATGAATATAAAAACTGCACATAAGACAGATATCCATAAAATCATCAAGCATTAGACAATGGTCCTAAAGAAAGCTATAGCTTTTAATATTTCCATATTAGACTCTCTGTAAACTGCTATACCTACATCTTTATGTGCTATATGTTTTTTTGTGAGACAACAGCATTAATTAGAAAGGGCTCACAGTACCTTTCGGTTTTTTTGTCAACTGTTTGAAGTCTTACACCACATCCAACCTTGAACTCCACTTTGCAATCTTCATCTATCCACTCATCTATCCATCCAGCCATCCACCCATCCACCCACTTACCTACCCATCCATCTGTCCATCCAGCAAATACTTACTGTGTGCCTGCGTGTGCAAAGAATTGTTCCAGAAGCATTCCCCACATGGGGTTTGAGTATACATAGTTTACTTAGGAGGTGCAGAAAACACTAGTCAGAGTATGATGGAATAAAAAAAGGAAGGAGAATTAGCAAATAAAAGATTCATTATCAAGCCAGCCAACGTTGGAGGTGTTGAAGGGTGAGGGAACCTGGGCATATACACACTTATTTCTGTCAGCGATTGGTTAAAAGCTGCTTCCTCCCTAGTATTTCAGGCCCAAAGCACAGCAGGCAGAGTCAGCTTCCAGAAACCAAAGTAAGTCCTCCAGCAAAGAAATGCAATGCTGCGAGCTGGAAGCCTGTCAGGTGTGCAGCGGTAAGGGAGAGGCGACCTGGGTGCAGCACTGACAGTTTCAGCTGCAGAAGGTACAAACGAAAAGTCCATATTCTCTTTGATTTGACAATCTAAATAGAAAAAATAAAAAACACCTAAGCGGATACAAAATGAAGCATGCTTAGATAGAAGCAATTAAGGTGCTAGAACAGAGATAAGAGAAGCTTACGAAGATTCATTAAGTAGGAAAGGCTTCAGTGAAGAGGTGACACTGTGACCTAAGGATGAAAAGAAGGCAACCATGGAAAAGCCAGGGATGCCAGTCAGACAGAAGGAATAGAATGAGCAGAGGCTCTAAAAAGGGAGAAAAGCTTGGCCTCCTGAGGATCTGAAGGAAAGACAAAGTGGCTGGAATGATGAGATGCTTGGTGGGATGGGAAGAGCTTTCCAGGCCAAGGAGTTTTGATCTTATTCTTAGTGCATAGAAAGCCACAGAGATTTTTTTAGAGTTCTCATGTCTGGACACATCTATATCTGGGATGTAGAGATGGACGGATTTTTCTCTCCCTCTTGTAGCAAAGCTTTACGAGACTCAGCTGCCACAATACCACTATCTCTCTACTCCCCTTTCCGACCCCCAAAAGTCTCCAGTCAGGGAGGGAACAAACGTTGGGCAAGAGAACACTTCAGAAAGAATTTGTGTAAACACCTCTCATTAGAAACTCATATCCTTTGAAGTCCTAAATGCCTCCCTTATTAAGAACGGATATAAACCCTTACCCCAGCTATTCCATGTCCTATTCCCTATAGGGCACTACTGCATGCATCAGTTAAACTTTTCTCCTATTAATTTGTCTGCTGTCAATTAATTCACAGGCCCCTGATCATTCAGACACAAGTTAATACAGGGAAAGTTTTCCCTCCAATACAGAGAAAAACCAGGTATGATCTCACACCAGTAAAAATGGCTACTAGTAAAAAGTGAAAAAATAACAGATGCTGGCAAGGTTGCAGAGAAAAAGGAACATGTATATACTGTTGCTGGGAGTGTAAAATAGTTCATCCTTTGTGGAAGACAGTGTGCTAATTCTCAAAGACCTAAAAACAGAAATATAATTTGACCCAGCAATCCCATTACTAGGTATTTGTCCAGAGGAATACAAATCATTCTGTTATAAAGACACATCCATGTGTATGTTCACTGCAACACTATTCACAACAGCAAAGACATGGAATCAACCTAAACACCCATTAATGATAGACTGGATAAAGAAAATATAGTACACATACACCACAGAATATTATGCAGACATAAAACAGAATGTGATCATGTCCTCAGCAGAAACATGGTTGGAGCTAGAGGCCATTATCCTCAGCAAACTAATGCAGGAACAGAAAACCAAATACCATATGTTCTCACATACAAATGGCAGCTAAATGATGAGAACACATGGACATATAGCAGGGAAAAACACATTGGAGATATTGGGGAACAAGAGGGTGGAGGTTAAGGAGGAGGGAGAGAGACAGAAAAAATGGGTACTAGGATAAATATGTGAATGATGAAATAATATATACAACAAAACACTATGACACAAGTTTACCTATATAATAAACATGCATATGTAACCTCTGAACTTAAAATAAAGTTAAAAAAAAAAAAACCTGGGTATTAACTGATTTCTGATTAGGTTACACAGATGTCAAAGACTATCATATGGATAATACTGATTCTTCAAAATCTATTAAAATAATCTATCATTCAATATAAAGAAAAATCATGTAGTTGTGTGTTTAAAACTTTTATATACATGTGTATTTAATATGTACTAATAGAAACATGGATATGTGAACTTGTCTGTATACCCACATACACATATTCAAGAGTGTACATTTTGTTGATAAGTCTTTATACTTACTAAATGTGTTTCTCTGCCTTGTTTTGGATCCTGATAATTGTTGGAATGTACATATTGGTATATATATATTGGAAAATTTTGCAATATATGTTTTGAAATTTCCCACTAATTATTTTGAACTTTACTGATTATAATTCTGGCAGTTTAATTTTTACAAATTTTGTGGCCATTTTTGTTAAGGATTTACCAGTTGATGATTATTGTATATATTTGGTGAATTGGTCTTTTATCATTATGTAGTATTTCTTCTAACCCTTTATAACATACTTTGTATTTGTACTGTTTTACCATAAAATTTATTTGTCTGATGTTAACATTTTTATATCCTCTTTCATTTGGTCAGAATTTCTTAGCTGTATTTGGTCCTGTTACCTTAAATCTTGCTATATAGTTTTTAGAGTCAATAGTTTCATCTTTTTAAAATGTAATTTTTTAGCTTGTATCTTTTAATAGCTAAACAGAGCTTTCATTACATTTTCATTACAAGTATAACTGTACTTATTTTATCCTCTCATTTTGTAGCTTCTGTTTACTAGCAGTTTGTATTTATTCTCTTCTTCTTTCTTATGTCTACTGGATGAAAAATATTTTCTATATTCTCCTTTTTCCACAATTTATTTGGCCTAGTTATATTTCTAATATTTTAATTTTTTATATTTTATACCTAAATGCATGCTATTTTTTGACAGAATATAAAGTTATTCATTGCGATATAATGAAAAACTTGGTTTTTGTCTCAAGTTCCTGGCATGGGGCTCCAAAAACCATTGAAATA